GTTCGGCTCGCACCCCACGCTAATAGTGTTGTGCTGCCGACAAGCGTGGACCAGTGCGACGCGGCCTTCCCGCACGTTATCGCCAAGCGATGCTTAGAAACCCACGACAAGACAACTTCGTAATGACGAATTGTAGCCATCATATATAAATATATGTATACTGCACAATGTTGCATTTACCCCACGTGCACGCACCCTTCGGACCGGATGGGGTTTTGCACGTTCCACTCGTCGCAGTTTTGCTGCCAAGTTGCGGGCTGCGCCGAGAAGCGACTGCGCGGCGCCAACCTCTGTGCGACGCACAACTCGACCGCAAATTTGGCAAAGTGCTTGCTCCATTTGATCAGCGACTAAGTCGACAAAGCGCACTCTATTTAATCTGTCGAACCCGTATCTACATTTCCTAATCACCAAGTTCCATGAAGCATTTGAGTATTGTGAGCAGGGTGCATCACTTTGTCTGGACCGGAGGCCAGCCCATGTGTCCACCCACCGAGTATTCGTGTCTGCAAGACAAGCCTGGGCGATGTTGTTATAGTTGTTGTGTGTGGTACTAAAAGGTTGCTTGGTGAAAATCTTGTTTGGGATGTACTAGTACAATGTACTAGTATGGTGTCGGTGGATGAAAGTCGTCGGGGCCGCACGATGGGCTTTGACATGACATTAGTAGAACGCCTTGCAAATTGTATGTCTACTGGAAACAAGCTGTTTAATGGCTGTGAGCGGTGAGCACTTCAAGTGGTTCTTTTCTGTGGTAGGAGTGGTAGTCCTCGGAGCAGGACGCGTGGTAGTTTTTTTCTCAGTCCGGTGACATTGCAACAGGTGTAAGCAGGTTTGGGCGACTACACAGTGAGCTCAGTTATACGTAAAGAAGCATTTTGTCGACCTTTGATTGGTAATGTGTGGTATTATATGTACTGTAATTTTCCAATTTCGCCCCGCCTTTGTGGCTCAGTGGTAGAGCATCTGTCTTGTAAACAGAAGGTCCCCGGTTCAATCCCGGGCGGAGGCATCTTCTCGCGAGGCATCTTTTTTGTTGCTACCACAATTGAAAATATAGTCACGAAATGCACATACACCAACCCTCTGGTTGCACCCCGACGCTCCGCAAAAGAGACGCGTTCGTATTTGGCGGCGCTACTCTTTCCTCCTGTGCCCCTCACGACTATACTCGTCGACTCGGCAGCGCCTGCTGGTATGTTGTCTACGCTTTGACAACTTTTGTGCGAGCGAAATGTGCTGGTGCGCAAATACATTGCGAATAGCGATGAAATGCCACAAGCGGTATTTAAAATAAAGTATATAGCGAATAAATCGCATAGTGACGATTCAACAGGAATAAACTCCCGATATTAGACTTCATTGGATCACTTTGATGCAAGCGATCAATATGAATGCTGCTAAATGCTTCTGAAAACAAGTCACAAAATGATGACTGGATAATAGAATGTTTAGAGCATAAAATATTCCATTTAAACTCTAAAACTTTTAGTATAAAAGTATAGTCAGTGTGCCCGAGCGGTCCAACCGGCAAATGAGATTTTATTGATGTTGCCCTTCCGAGAAAGGACTCACTCATTAGACCTTCTAATTCCTATCGTGAGAGAGGAGCTAGGGTCTGCGGTTTTCTTTTTCTATCTTTTTGTGTTTTTCCGAGGGCGTGGCGCACTGCCTATCCCCGAGGTCGATAAATAGACCTACGGGGACCTACGGGGTAGGCGGGGCGCCGGCGGCTGTCGAGGGGCTCGAGGCTGAGAAGGCGTAGTGCGGCGTTGATTTTGGAGCGAGGCGCGTTGGATTCGAGGCGCGGCCAAGCGCGGACACACGAGAGCCACAGTTCGCGGGTCTCGTTGCCGGCCGACGGCATGTGAAGCGGGCCCGCGGCTTCAAACTTGATCTTGTTGCGGGACATCCACAGATGGCGGAGCACCGTGGCGACGAGGCTGTACCAGAGTCGGAAGAAGACATGGCGAAGCGGGCGAGCGTGTCGCGGAACCGCGAACGTTTCCGGGTGGACCACGGTGGTCCATGACCACGAGATACCGGCAGCCGACCACGCGGCCAGGTGCCAGGCCCAAAGCGGCTGAACGTCGGGGCACTCCCACAGCGCGTGCTGCTCCGTCTCGACGGCGAAGCAGCCCGCGCGAGCGCAATCGAGGGCGTGGGCGTCGGTGTCTTGCTTGAAAACGAACTTGTAGTTGAGCGGCAGCGTCTCGAACAGTGTGCGGAGCCACACGTCGCTGTAGACGGGCGGCGCAAATCGGTAGGCGGCGTAAAAGGCCGAGAGCGCAGCTTCAATGTCGTACAGGCGCGGCCGGTCGGCTGTGCGCCACGGATGCGGCGTCGTGTGGGTGACGACGGGACGAGAGGACGTGACCGCTTGGAGGACCGCTAGTGGCGCCACGGCGAGGTCGACCGGCGCAGTGGTGGGAAACAGCACAAACATCGAGCGTGAGCCCGCGGGCAGTGCCGAGAACGAGGGCTGCGCTGCAGCAGTCGTCGCGCATGCCGTAAAGACCGCGGTCATAATCTTCGTCACAGTGGCGTAGAAACCGGTGAGGCGCTGTGGGCGATCGAGGGCGCCGTCTTGTCGAAAGACGCGGTTCGTGACGACGGAGAGGAAACGCCCGGGCGTCGGTCATCCTTCGTCTCCGTATGCGAAGGAACGCAGCGTGTGGAGCCCCGTCCCGGCGACGGCCTTGTAGAACGAGCGAAACTTGTAGTACTTGACCGCGAGACTCATCTTGCCTTCGGGCGAGCGGTCGACTTGGTACAAAGGGTGCATCTGGAGCCAGATCGGCACGTCAAGCATGTCGGCCAGGCGGCGGCGCGGATCTGCGTCGACGCGCAGCTTGGAGGCCCACGGGATCGCGGTCCAGTGGTGCCAAATGTTGACCCAGAGCGGCGACACGGCCGTCAAGCGTACGAGGTTTGTGCCACGGCGCGGGTAGAAGTACAGAAAGTCGAACTGGCCCGGTCGTGCAAACGGCGCGAGGCAGTCGTCGAGATGCCAGCGGGCGAGGCCGGCCCACGGCTGGTCGACGTCGTCGGCGTGGCGCAGGAGCAATTGCAGGCGCTGCAGTCGCTGAGTCGCAATCAACGACTCGACGTGGGGGATGTCAAATCCGACGTCGGGATCAAACATTACCGGCAGACGGGCAAGAATCATGGCGCGCTCCGTGGGTCGGGACTTGCGGTGCAGAACGTATCGGTTGATCAGCGCTTGCCAGCGGTCGAGGTGCGTCGGCGGCACTATGACAAGGGGCAAGAAGTAGCGCAGCGTCGATATCACGATCGCTTGGACAATAAGACGACGACCGTGTACCGTGCGACCGCGGGTGCCCCACGAGCTGAAACAACGGAAGAAGCGGCGCTCGAGGTCGTCAAGTCGCGTGGCGTTACAGACACGGTGGCCAAAGCGGACCCCGAGGTACGTCACGGGCGTGCCGGAAGGGACGACGGACACGCCGTGCCAGCCGCCAACGGCGCGCGTGTTGTTGAGGATGATGGTCTTGCTCTTCGCCCGGTTGAGGAGCGCGCCGGACCCTGCGCAGTAGTCTGCCACGAGTTGGAGTTGGTCGTGGAGCGTGTGACGAGAGCCCGAGAAGAGCGTGACGTCATCGGCAAAGAGCGCGCCGCATGTCCAGCCACCGCCGGGTAGCGCGATGCCGAGATCGTCTCTGGCGCGGAGCATCTCGCTCAGCGGCTCAATAGTCAGCACGAACAGAAGCGGCGACAGCGGGCACCCCTGCTTGACGCCGCGGTCGGGCCGGATCAGCGGCGCCTTGAAGCCGTTGATGAAGAGATACAAGATGGGGCCCGTGTACATCAACCGCACCCACTGCGTGAACTCCGCGGGAAAGCCGGCGGCGTCCATGCACTCAAACATGAACGTCCAGTCGACGCGGTCGAACGCCTTGGAGAAGTCGAGAAACGTCGCGAGGCCGTCGTCGTCGGGATCGGCCGAGACGTGAGCTTGAAGCGACTCGAGGAGGTACAAATTGTCGTGGATGCGCCGTCCACGAACAAAACCAGACTGCATCGGGTGGATGAGCGACGGCAGCACGGCAGCCATGCGGTGGGCCAGAGCGCGTGCAAGAATCTTGACCTCGACCGACATGAGCGTGATCGGCCGGTAGTTGCTTGGCACCTCGCGGTCTCCGCTCTTGAACAGCATGATGACGGCCGACTCGCGGTGGCAGCGCAGCATCTGGTTCCGCGCAAGCTGCGCGTCAAAGACAAGGCGCAGCAGGCGGCCAAAGAGGTTGGGATCCAGCTTGAAAAACTCTGCCGGGAAGCCGTCGAGCCCGGGCGACCCGTTGTTGCGCATCGTCCGGATGGCAGATGCAAAGTCGGCGTCGGACAAGGGCGCCGCCATTGCCGCCTTCTGGTCGTCAGTGAGGTGGCGCCGAAGAAACCGAGTGAGATGCCGGCGCTGCGCGCGATTTGGAGCGGCACCGTCGCCGCGCGTAAACACGGATTGCCATTGCTGCTGGAAGGCACGTGCAACCGCTTCGGTCCCCGTGACCCGAAGCCCCGTGGCGTCGACGGCAGCGTTGATCGTGACGCTTGACATGGGCACCCGTGGCGGCGTGAAAAAGGCCGACGACGACCGTTCCATGGCAGTCAGTTGGATATCGAATCGACGGTCGCGTGCGTCGCGGCGTCGGGTTTCTGCCGCGGCCGCGTGTAAGGTGCGGACCGTGTCGAGGTCGGCGGCCGATATGAGACCGGCTGCGTGGCGCGATTGTGCGTGTGCCAGGCGTTGGTCGTCGGCGCGTCGCTCTGCAAGTTGGCCCGAGCGGTCCAGTGTC